GGAGGAGGAGGAGGAGGAGGAGGAGGAGGAGGAGGAGGAGGTGGCCGCTCGGTTTGGGGGCGCGGGCCGTTCTCCTACAGGATGGGCGGGGCGGCGGGGTCACCGCACGCTCCGCCGCCGCACCGCTCTGCGGGGCCCCGAGGAGCTGTCGGGGAATCGTAAGCCTCGAGTAAGCTTAAGTAGGGCCTGTCCCTCTATTAGAGGGACATGCCCTACTTTTTTTGAATAGTCTTGCATATTCTAAAAGAGGAGGATTCAAAAATAGTCAAAAACAATAGTATGGGGACAATGTTTCTATAAGTTTTTCCATTTGGGAGGGATTGTTGTTTTTCATATTTTTAATGTTTCCCGAGAAATCCGCATGTAATGGGACGCGCCCGACCTAAGAGTAAGCCAGAACTCCGGTTTGCCGAGGTTTTCAGATTTCAGAGTGGGTCTCGTCATTCTCATGATGGCCCCGTCAGGCCAACCCGAGGAGGAGGGGGAGGGGGAGGGGGGGAGGAGGGGGAGGAAGGGGAGGAAGGGGAGGAGGGGGAGGAGGGGGAGGAGGGGGAGGAGGAGGAGGAGGAGGAGGAGGAGGAGGAGGAGGAGGAGGAGGAGGAGGAGGAGGAGGAGGAGGAGGAGGAGGAGGAGGAGGAGTCCCCCGTGCCCGAGTCTTGCGTCTCGCCGAAGGTGGGCGAACAGGAGAGCGGCCTCATCGGAAGAGCAGGGCAGAGGCTGCACGGGCAGAAACCTTCCGGGAGGGCCCCGTGTTACGCCCCGGAGCGCGAAGGGGATCGCGCAGTCGCGTAATCGCGGCTCGGGCCGAGTGAAAGGGGGGATATTGGGAAAGGGGGGGTTACGAAATCTGCTGCATGCAGCTGGTTTAAACCCCACCGAGGGGCCCATTCCCCGATTCAGGGCCGCCTTCGCCGCCGGGAGGCGCCGGGAAAATCAGCTACGTGAGCTGATTCTCAAACCCCCCCCTCTGCTATCCTCCCCTTTCGCCCGGCCCGAGCGGCCTCTTGGCATCGCTCGGACGTGTGCGTTGTTTGGGGCGGGGACCATCATCTCGGATTACCCCGCGAAACGAGCACGCACGGCAGGTTCGCGTCGTGCCAGCCGGCGGCGACTCCAGCGCGTGCGGGTAATTATAGGTTGACCGCCTCCCGTGGCCCAGAGTCGGCCCGTCGTTGAACGATCCGGCGTCAATGGAACGGCCGATCGTTCGAGCATGAAGGATCCCCGCGGTGTCAGGAACCAGCGCCAGGGTCGACACGACGCGAAGAGCTGCCGCACTCGGGGGCAGCGATAGGGGGTGGAATAGGCATAGGGCGGGATGCATCGACTTCCAATCGCCCACTGAGCGCCGATGGGGACCCAATACCCCACCCCGCCCAGGAGGGTGAGGATTCACTATCGGGGGCCTATCGCCGATCTATCGACCATGCATCGCCGATTCCGGGCCGATGCATCCCCCCATATGCCCAGGCATGCGACGTGTTGATTTTTTCAGGTCGGCGTCCCCGGAAGTCTGGACCCTTTCCCCAGGACCGGTTTTTCGTCGTTTTTTGACGCTCACGAGGCCCGGCGAGGGCCCCCAGGGCCCGAAGGTAGTGAAGAACCTCCCGTCCTGATTTTTTCACGACGCGATCATGTCTGAGATCCTATCCCCCCCGATCGTTGCCCCTCGCGTACACGCACGAAGATCGTAAGAGTGCACGGGGCAGGGCCGGCCGAGCGACGGCGGGGCCGGGGGCTGGAGAGCGAGCTACCCTCCTCCGGGGTTGCTTCGCCAGGGGCGCCCAGGGCGATGGCACGTCGCGCATCGCGGGGCACGTCCTCCTCCTCCTCCTCCTCCTCCTCCTCCTCCTTCTCCTCCTATCCTCCTATTCCTCCTCCTCCTCCTCCTCCTCCTCCTCCTCCTCCTCCTCCTCCTCCTCACTCTTCCTCCAGCCTTCTTCCTCCTCCTCCTCCTCCTCGTCGTCGTCCTCCTCCTGATTATTCCTCCTGCTCCTCCTCCTCCTCGTCCTCGTCTTGGGGCGACCCACAGTGGAGGCCCATGCCAAGAGGCACTCTGCTTGCCTCCAGTGTTCATGGGGCTTCTTGGGTTTCGAGGGTCTTGCCATGGGAGGCGTGGCGTTCTCACACCAAGAATCGATGGACGCCCTGGGATCTCGGGGCTGGGCTTCTTGTGGAAGGTTTCTTGTGGACTGGCCTCCACTGCAGGAGGTCCGCGCGAATTTATCGGGCTGGCGCTGGGCACCCCATCCCCTGGGCGGCGCAGGCCCAGCAGCACCCACCCGGGAACTCCGCCTGGACCCTCAGAAGGCTGTGCTCACGGTGGGGGCGGGGGCGGTCGTTGAGGAATGTGCCCAGGGGGCCTCAGATCCTGGAGGATTCCTTATCTGATGAGGACGGCGGAGGAGTTCCACCGGCTTCCAGACCGTGGGCTCCTTATCCAAATGTTCCTTGTCCAATGCCCTCACCGCATGCGTGCAGCTGCCTGCTCTTCTGCCCATGGACGCGGCCCCAACGTCCGCGGAGGGGAAGGACCAGGAGATGCAGCAGAGCATCCTGGACCGCGTCGACCCAACGAACGCGAGCGCGCTCTCGGAGCTCGGCGAGCCTGAGCTCTCGCGCGTCTCCGCCTTCCGGGCCACCAGGCCGGAGAGGAAGGATCGGCGGCGAGCGAGGGGGGGGGAGTGAGAAGGAGAAGGCCTTCTCAGAAGGCAGTGGGACTTCTCAGAAGCCCTCGCGCCTTCTGAGAAGTTGTTTGTTCTGTCTTCGGGGAAGGCTTCGAGCACTTCTCAGAAGGTGGGGGTACTTCCGAAGCGTCTGAGAAGGCCTTTTGCGGCCCGTCTACGGACGCGGCCCGCAGCGAGAGCCGTCGCGAGCGGGTTGGCGGCGGCGCTGGGCCAGCACCCATGCTGCTTTCGCCAATGACGCCTGCTGCACGAAGGGGATGTTTACTATTAGAAAAGCCCTCTCCTCCTCACTTCCACCCCCCCCCCCTCGCTCGCCGCCGAGAGGAGAGGAGGCGCCGCCGCCACTTCCGCAGGGCGCCGCGCGCCTCCAGGACTTGCTGCCTGTTTGTTTTCAAGTCGGGCATGTCCGTCTGCGGGAGGACGGCTCAGAAAGAGTCCAGCAAACCGTCTGGGGACGATTGCGAAGGCCGCACGGCCGATGACGCCGACCCTGCAGGCAGCGACGACGAAGACAATGGAGGTAGAGGGGTCCCCTCAGATGGCTCGAAGACGGCGCCAGATGCCTGCGAGGTCGTCCGAAGACAGCTCAAGAGGCCTCCCCCAGGGTTCGGAAACAGGTTGTTCCAGATCGGTCGACTTAAACATATGTACGAGCATGTTTCGACTCTGTTTTGTCTGTCCGCCCAAGTCCGCCTGTAGGAGGACATGCCCGACCCAATGTTGCCTGCCCAGGGGCATCGGTACAGCAGGTTCGCGTCGTGTCGACCGGCGGCGACCACGCCGGCGGCGTTCAACGTTGAACGCCGGCGGCGACCCAGAGTCGGCCGCCGTTGAACGATTGGACGTTGCGGGGACAGCCGCTCGTTCGGGGTCGAACGATCCACGCGGTGTCAGAAACCAACGCCGAAGGCGGCACGACGCGAACCTGCCTGTACAGCACCAGCCCGCGCCTGGCCAGTGCCGCCCCGTGGGCCCGAGGAGGCGCGTCGGCCCTCCTTGCGCGGGCCTCGTCCCTTTGGGGGGCGCGTGTGCACCCTGCCGGGGGCCGCCCGGGGCAGCCCCGGTCGGGCTCGGTGGCTCGGGCAGAGGATCGACCAGCTACAGCAGCGAGTTGCCCCCAGATTTGATTCTCCCCCGCGAATCTACGACAAGTGACGTATAACAGGATGTTCACAAATCGATCGAGAGCTCGAGGTATTGATCCGTAGAGTTCGACCCTGTGCGGGCCTCGTCCCTTTGAGGGCGCGTGTGCGCCCTGCCGGGGGCCGCCGGGGCGGCCCTGGCCGGGCTCGGTGGTTCGAGCAGAGGATCAAGTCGGGCATGTCCCTCTTCAGGAGTGCAGCTTCCGCCCAAAATCCGCCTGTAGGGGGACATGCCCGACCTATAGTAGAGGATCGACCGCACAAGTGACGTACCCCCAACTTGATTCTCCTTTGCGAATCTACGACAACCCTCTAGAAGTGTCCAAACATCGATTGAGACTTCGAAAAGTGTTGATCCGTAGACTCGACGAGGAAAAATTCCTCTTGGGGCGGACCAGTTCTGCAGTCGATCCCCTACTGGAGTGGTGGTCAGGAAAGAACCCATGGGGGCAACGGGCCCTGAGGGGCACGGGCCCCGAGGTTTCTCGCCGTCTTCGGCTCCCCGGGGCCCTCAACGGGCCCCGGGCCGGTCCGAGAGCGGCTCAGGACGGAGATCTCGTCGCGGGGGCGGGCGCCGAGGGTCCAGGACCCGTTTCCCTCGGGACACGGCTTCCCCCCCATGCTACAGATGCCCTTTTTGCGGCAGAGCTGGTCCTGCGCCCGCTCCTCCTCCTCCTCCTCCTCCTCCTCCTCCTCCTCCTCCTCCTCCTCCTCCTCTTCCTCCTCCTCCTCCTCCTGCTCCTCCTCCTCCTGCTCCTCCATTCCTTCTCCTCCTCCTCCTCCTCCTCCTCCTCCTCCTCCTCCTCCTCCTCCTCCATTTCTTCTCCTTATAAATAATTCCTCCCTGTCTGCGCACAGGAGGAAGAGGGCGAAGATCGAAAGGGAGATGGCCGAGTGGTTGCCCGGCGCAGTGGAGACAGAGAGGGCCGCGGAGGAGACGTTCGAGTCCGTCGACAACGAGCTGCTCGGGCAACTGCTCAACTTCACGAGCGAGGCGAACGAGACCCCCTCCCTCGACAGGGCCGAGAGGGAGCTGAAAACTATCCAGGAGATCTGGGACAGGTACGAGCTCGACAACGAGAACGTCACCGCGATGGATATGTGACGGGCTGCGCCCTCGGGGGCTGGCCCCCTCAGATGGACTCGTGGTTTGGTGTCCGCCGCGCTGGCGGCATGGGCGTGCAGGATGTGTCGTCGTGCGCGCGCCGGTCGTTGGAAGCAGGTGTTTCTGGATTCCCGGAGCCGAATCTACTGCTAGCCAGGGAATTTCGACGAAAAGTACGAAATACCCCAGAAATGCCCCCAAAAGGTGTAAAAATATTCAAAAAATAGTCCCCAGACTTGTTTTGGATTATTTTTTTATTATTTGTGGTGTATCTTTTATTTTTCGTCGAAAATCCCCCTGTGGGGGGACAGGCCCAACTTAATGCTAGCGCCTTCCTAATTCAAGAATCGATCTGCGTTTGCAGCGCCTCGTCATTCATTCTCTTGAGGGGCCTGAACGCAATCTCTACTTCATCTGCCTTCCTGCTGCACGCTTTTACCTGCTTCTTCCGAGCGGCGTGTGCTGACTCTGCGCGCGTGCACATGCAATCGTGCCTCGAGGACGAAAAAGAACTGCGTAATCATAAACTGTTTGAGCTCCGGCGGGTCTCTTGGACCTGCGCCAGACCTCCCTGCCTGGCGCACGGAGCGCGCAAAGGACGTCGCCAAAGGCGTCACGGGGGGGGGCCAACGCCGATCCAAGAAACCCGCTCGGAGCTCCAAAAGTTTATGTTCACACAGTTTGTTGTTCCTCTAGTGTCTGGGGGTGCGACGGCAGGTTCGCCTCGTGTCGACTGGCGGCGACGCCGCCGCCGGCGTTCAGCATCAAGCGCCGCCGGCGACCGAGAGTCGGTCGATGTTGAATGACTTGACATTTCGGAAACGGCCGATCGTTCGAGGTTGAACGATGCCCGCGGTGTCAGAAACCAACGCCGAAGGCGGCACGACACGGACCCGCCGTGGTGCATTCGTGGTGTGGGGGCTGACGGATTCGACGACTCTGTGGAGTTGTTGAGGAAATATGCCAGGAAAATATGGTAGAGTATGGGAAGTGTGGGGGGGGGAGACAAAAACTTAGAAAATATTAGGAAAATATGGGGAATCTTGTTTTTTGTGCGTATTTATTTGTGTGTCCCAGGGCCCCATTCATCTGTGGAGTTGTTGAGGATCTGTGGGCGTATTTTGTCAGGAAGGCGCGCGAGGCCCACAGGCGTGCCCCTAATAGAGGCACCGGCGACGATCCCTGGGCCCGACGAGAGCATTCGGCAGCCCGTGCACAACAGAGTTGCTGCATCGAGCAGGAGGCCCCCCAAGACTGCAGAACTCGGGGGTGGACAGACCTCCTACCCTGACACGTCGACTAGTGAATTGTCCGTTTTCGGTTCTCGAGAGGGCGCCGCGGCCATCAGTTTCCAGGCTTGCGCCCGACATGTTTGGGCCCGAGGTCGTCTTCATTAAACCACGTTTTGCTACAGGGGGTTTTGTCCATCCCCGCAGAACCGGCCCCGTGAGCTTGGAGATAGACGAGCAAACGGGCGCGAGAGGTCCCCCGGGGGCCCCGAAGGGAGGCGAGAGCGGCGTGCAGCGGCAAGCGGCACCGTGACGCACCAGGCAGCCGCAAACAAAGACAAGAACACCAGCAACGGTAGCAAGCGCCTGAAGATCCGGGGAAGAGAAAAAACGGCATTGCATAAAACATAAATGTGTGAAGCTCCGCGCGGATGTGGATCTGCGCTGGAACCCCTCGGCGGGGCCCGGCGCCACCCCTGGGCGCGCTCCCCGCGCCAGTGAGGGGGCTCCAGCCCAGATCCGATGATCCAGCGCGGATCTCCGAATGTCAACACCACGGCTATCCCGTACGGGGCCTTGATCTACTCATGTTTGATAGATGGCACTAAGTATATACGCAGTGGCAAGCACCTGCATGCTGACAACTCTATCACCTGCTATGACGTCTGTTGTGCGAACGCCAGTGCACATGTGTCAGGGAGACAGCTGTGCAGACGGGGCAACGACCACCAGCCATCTAAACAGAACAAGTAGGAACCAGGATGCAAACTCAAGCTAGGAGACTTGAAACATCCCCGCAGCGACCAGCTTTTTAGACACGGGGACACATGAACGCTCAATGGTGCCGACCTTGCAGGAGAAGCATTCGAATGCGCACGCCGTTGTTGTTGAGGAACAAATTGTCCCGCGCAGCTGGGTGGCCTCGCAAAGGGGGGGCCGTCGGATAGTGGAGAAGCTCTACCCAAGCAACGACACTTGGTACGGAGACGCAGTTCTGGGGAACAGACAATATCGATACTGCTACTTCCCTTATCTCTCACGGGGTGCGTTCTGATTTTAATCTCGAGGCGAACCCAGCCGTGAAGACAGGGGCCTCCCAGGAGGCCTAAAAGTGCGAAAACGAGGCAAGTGTACGTAGCGGTATCGGTGCCTTTTCCTCCTCTGAGGTTCACCGTCTTCACGCCATGAACGAGACCGAATCTCACGAGGTCGCTGTCAGGCTGCGCGAGGAGGTGGAGAGGCTGAAGGCGGAGCTTGAGCGCGTGCGGGACCAGATGGTGGCGGAGAAGGAACTGCTGGAAGCCCAGGATGTGGAGCAGGACCAGACCAGTGCCACCGCGGTCAACGAGAGCAGCGGCGCGGGCATCTTACAAGACCTTGCATCTTGGCATCCTCCCGCGGGCATCGTGCCAGAGGAGCCTCTTGCTGTGGATACCTAGGCCGATCCTAGAGCAGGACGGTTTCGGTAGCATTCGGGATGTTGTTGCCCCTGGAAGCTTCTGACGACCCTCATCGTCATCCGTAGCATCCTCATCGGTATCATTTTCTCTATCGTGAGTTACGGAATGTCCGTCCCATGGTTGATTGCAACATCGCTGATGCCTCTTAGGCTTACACTGGTCCTCCTCCTCTTCCCAGCCACTTTGGCTCAAGCAGTTTTGGTCCAGTGGCCATAGCCCGTGCTCCCGCCGCAAGCCCCCCGCCAAGCGCAGCCTTCCCTCAGATCGTCGTACCATGACCTGCCTGGGAGGGCACATGAGCGCCGCGGCTGCGGCACGGCTGACGCTGCGCCCGCCGCCAGGGCTCCCCCACCCGGCAGCGGCGCCCGAGCTCCCGCGGCAGAGGCAGGTTCCCCCCGGCAGCTTCTACGCCCACCCCGGCGGGCGCGCGCTGGGCCCGCCGCCGGGCCTCGCCGCGCCCTGCCGCCGCGCGGCCGACGGGCCCTGGGCACCCGGCGCCTGGGAGGTCGCGCCGTCGACGAGGTGCCCTTCGCGGGAGCCCGCCAGGGCGCCGGGCGCCTACGCCGCCATCGCCGACAGCGGCTCCGACTCCGAGCTCTACCCTGGCGGGCCCGCGCTGGGCCCGCCGCCGGGCCTCGTCGCGCGCTGCTGCCGCGCGGCCGACGGGCCGTGGGCGCCCGGCGCCCGCGAGGACGCGCCGGCGCCGTCGACGAGGTGCCCGTCGCTGGAGTCTGCCAGGGCGCCGTGCGCCAACGCCGCCATCGCCGACAGCGGCTCCGACTCCGACGGCCCGGGAGCACGGCCGCCGCCGGGGGCGTGGAGCTCTCAGGGCGAAGGTGCCGCGCCGAGGCCGCCGGGCTGCTTCGGCGGGGCGGGCTGCCACCACGAGCTGGGCAAGCCTGGCGTCCCGTCGGCCGGCTCCGCCCAGCACCACCTCGGGCTCTGCAAGCCGTGCGACTTTGTCTACCGCGGCGCCTGCCGCGAGGGCACCTCTTGCAAGTTCTGCCACTTGTGTGGCCCGGAGGAGACCCAGCGGAGGAAGAAGGAGAAGAAGCGCCAGCACAGGGCGCAGCGCCAGCGCGAGTATGAGTCGCTCGCTCTCGTCGGCGGCCCGCTGGCTGGGCCGGTGTCTGCCGCGGGGTCAGCGGCATGGTGAATTCGGCCACTCCGCCAGAGTGGAGGCGGACGAGGACGAAGATCTCTTCCATCTGACTGCACAGAACCAGCGCGGCGATGGAGTCGCGTTTGTTGGAGGGCGTGGTTCTCGTCTGCACGAGCCTTGCGTACGCATCACGGGCTTCCAAAGATGTTTTTTTACTTGCGCGCATAGTGTCGCAGGGCGCAGGTATTGGCGATTGCTGATTAGGGTGCATCATGGCCCCACTCCGCAGTAATAGTTCTTCGTTTTTCATGATACAGTTTCGTTTCAAGGCGCAGGTGTTGTGGATTGCGGATCAGGGGTCATCAAGTTGCCGCACCGCACTCGTGATAAGAATCCGTTGTGGGTTTCGGTATTTAGCACAGGAGCTGCTGCACAATAAGCTGCAGCACTCACCTCATAACTGCACAGTCCTCGACTGCCGCTCCCACAGCTTCGCTAGAACACCCTGGAGCCCTCTAAAAGCCACTGAACACGCTCGAACATTTTCGAGAACCTGTGTCTCATCTTTCCTCTCCTTGTCCTCCGCGTTCCTCCTCGCGGTCTTCATGGCTCATTTCTACTGCGGCTGGGGAGGGGGATGAACAAGCAGAAACAAGTTACCATCCGTCCCACCCCTGCGAGCATCCAAAAGCAAGCATAGATGATCCCGGGTCGCGGGTCGACAGCTCCCCCCCAGATGGGATGGGTCCCAGGGTTCCAAAGCCCCCCCCCAGCTGGGATGGAGGGGGGGGGACGACGACGCCGACGCCGAAGCCGACGCTGACGATGACGATGACGACGACGACAGACGATGACGACGACGAGGCCGCCGCCGCAGCCGCCGCCGCCGTTGGCGCCGACGCCGATGCCGACGACGGACGACGGACGACGGACGACGGACGACGGACGACGACGACGACGACGACGACGACGACGACGACGACGACGACGACGACGACGACGACGGCGGCGACGACGACGACGACGACGACGACGACGAACCAATCCACACCCACAGGGGAGGGCACCCTCCACCACGCCACGCCCACAGGGCCATGACTGCGGGGGGGCGGGGGGGGACGATCCCCTTCGCGAGGCCTCTGCGAGGCTCACGATCGTGCCCATCCAGCGGGGATGGGGGTGGGTCGATCCCATCTGCCGTGGGATGGGGGGGTTGGGGGGGCAAACCTGGGTCAGGGGTGTGTGAACATGTTTGGCAAGGTCAGGCTGGTCACCAAGCAGACTAAGTTTGAGCAGACGCTGGTGTGGATCAACCCCGTATGTGTGGCTGGACCCCAGGTTTGATTCCGCAGCGTCGCGCGCCTCATTTCTCCTCGTTCCGCCTACTCGTCATGTTCCTCATCTCCTTGCCCCGGCCTGCTGCATGTCGCGTTCGTGCGCATTCGGGCCCACGCCCATTTCGGCACGCCCATGGCATTCTTCGTTGCCCCATAGGAACATCCACGTACGGACTAGGTGGGCACATCCGCATGCGGGCCCACGCCCATGTAGGCACACTCTTCACACGCCTCGTGGCACATCAACATACGGTCCAGCGGGCGCGTCATCATGTCCACACCAATTTCGGCGCACCCTCACTAGGGCCTGCTCTATACGCTTCGCGCAACCCTACCAACCCATCCAGAAACGATGCCCAAGCGAGTTGCCCTGATCAGGGATGTGGAGGAGCATGCAGTAGAATACGGAATTCAGGAAGCCGTCAAGCCCCAGGAGGAGGAGGAGGAGGAGGAGGAGGACGCAGGAGGAATCGGAGGAGGAGGGAGGGCAGAAGGGGTTGGGGGCGGGGCAGCGGCGAACGATGAAATGCACGTTCAAGCTGCTCTCAACATGCTCTACGGGAGAACTGAGGCAATTAACCCAAGGAAAATCCCAAGAGAGGATATGACATATCCTTCGGGCCACAGTATGGACGTGAAGGACCATGGTGCCACTCTTCGGTGGCGTTGGCGGCGATACGAGCACGCTGTGTCTCGGTGAGGACGGGAGGAGCGGGAGGGGGGGGGGGGAGGCGGAGGCGAGGACAGGAAGAAGGAGGATGGAGAGAAATCTTGGTCGCATAATACAACGTGCCCAGCCTCGCAGGACTGGACGTCGGGCTGAGCAGCCGGCGCCGCCTCGGCGGCAGAGTCCTGGCCTCCCTCGGCGGAGGCGGGGAAGGCGGAGGAGGAAAAAGGACGATCCCAGCGTTAGATCTCAGGATTCCCCCTGTGGCGCTTGATGGGCCTACCTACAAAATCAGGAGCTTCCCAGAACTCACCGTCGAGTGTCACATGAAACGGAGTGGCAATCTTCCTGGTCGGAATCTGAGTTGGAGTCGGTGAGATCAAGTGCCGAAAGAATACCATCCGTCATGCTTGTGGCGAGTGCCTTGTACATAGCCGGTGGGTATGTTCTTGTTCCGGGCAGTCTTGAAATTGTTGTCTTGTTTTTTCCCCGTCATCGTTCTGTGCACCCTCTGTCCGTGATTGTACCGTCCATTATTCTTACACGAGATGCCCATGTAAGATGGGAAGCCGAATGGCAAGGATTCTGGTCGGGGCACGTCCTATGTTTTCTGGAGGAGCGTTGTGCAGCATGCGCTGGTCGAAGATAGTGCTGCAGACGGGGCAACCCTCTAGGGCCCGTAGAGGCATCCAAGAGAAGCTGGTGGGGGCCTGAGGTCTCCAGGTGGCTGACTGCGGGTGCTCCATCCAAACGCAAGTGCCTCCTTATGCGCGCACAGCAAGAAGCATATCTGAACTGTGCAAAAGCTTGTTGCGGGTCTCAAGCTGCATGGCTTGGGATTCTGAGGTCCACGGCACACCCCAAAAGTACGAAGTAGTACGCAAAGGGGAGGGCCCTGAAGCCATCGCACAGCACACCATATTTCGCACGGAGGGCCCCCCCCGTAACCCACACACGTCTGGCCTGTATGTGTGTAGTCCATTCCTGTGCAGTGTTGGCACGTGTAAGGTCGCACCGTACAGCGTCGATGGAGATATCAATTGACAACGTCACAATCTGTATCGTGGCATGTGTGTGCAGCTTATCAATATGATGTTGGTCTTCTCCCTCGCGGCGTCGCCCGCAGAAGAGCTTCAGTATAAGAACCTCGGCACGCTTCAGGCGTCTGGGAATCTGCTGTGGGGCTTTGCAATGGAAGTCCTGAGGTCAGGTAGTGACGACCCTGTGCAGCAATGGACGGGGAGGGAGGTAAGGTCGGACTCTGCTCGCGCGCCCTACTTACCTGCAGCTGTTGTCTATCAGTGTCGTCGACTTCATAGAAGGACTGTCTGATGACATCTCTGGCCTCCTGCTCCGTGATATCTAAGAATACCCAAGCAGACTCCCAGAGCAAATCTTCGTGGCATGCTGCATGCGTGGCTAGCTGAGCAGCTCTTCATCTGCCCAAGCCGGCCTTGCGCTGCTCTGTGCAGTGCTGTACGTCTGCTGCTTCTGCCGAGCTGGCGGTGTCGGGATCGAGCTGACTGTCGTGCATAAAGATGAGGAAAAAACTAAAACACCTTGCAGCGTCGAATGCGACATGGTCGCGTAGTTGCCGACGGGCAGCGAATTCCGTCGAGCAGGCACGGCATACAGAGCCGCGGCACACAGATGACGAGCCCATTACCTGTTCCACCTAAAGCGTGTACGTATGAAATGCTGACGTAGAGATGCAGTAGTCAAGGGCATAAGACAACACCCCTACCCTGGTTTACGAGGCGCTGTGCGCTGAAACTCCTGTGGGCTGACAGGGTAAGCCCTGCGTGATGTGCGGCGTCCTGGCGGCTCCCTAGGCTTTGGGGGTTCCCAGAAGGTTTACAGACTACGCACTTGTAACCCAGGGTCGGGTCGTTTTTCCATCCCTCAAAATAGTACGTTCTTGTCTGCATCATTCAAGCGCTCTGTAACACGCAGCGGGTGGCCAGGATGGGTGGCCGGCAGTGGGGATCTGCTCTGAAGGATGGCGAAAAGTTGTCGTTCAGCTTGGTCGGCCAGCGCTTGCCTTGCCACGGCACATGCATGCCCGCACTGTGTTGATCTCAAGACTTTTCTCGATGCCTGAAGGGACTGGCGTATGTGCGTCTCCCAGGGCCCGAATTCGCAAGCGGGGTCGGTGAGATCGTGAAAGGGCTTGCGAACCGAGCGAAGCCACTGTAGGTCGTCAAGCATGTGCTGAAGCCAAGACCGGTTGGCGGAGCTATAGTAGCGAGCAAGCCGAAAGGCGTGCATCGTGAGCCCGAGTAGGAGGTCGGAACCGAAATACGTGAGTCGGCCCAGGACTACTACGACGACGGCCATTACCATTTTTACAACTAAAACGACTATAACGACCACTACTACTACTACTACTACTACTACTACTACTACTACTACTACTACTACTACTACTACTACTACTACTACTACTACTACTACTACTACTACTACTACTACTACTACTACTACTACTACTACTACTACTACTACTACTACTACTACTACTACTACTACTACTACTACTACTACTACTACTACTACTACTACTACTACTACTGTTACTACTACTACTACTACTACTACTACTACTACTACTACTACTACTACTGCTACTACTACTACTACTGCTACTACTACTACTACTACTACTTCGACTACTACTACTACTACTACTACTGCTATTACTACTACGACTACTACTACTACTGCTACTACGACGACAACGACGACGACGTCGACGACTACTATTACTAGTACTACTACTTCGACTACTACTACTACTACTACTACTACTACTACTACTACTACTATTACTACTACGACTACTACTACAACTATTACTACGACTTCTGCTACCACTTCTACTACTACTACTACTACTACTACTACTACTACTACTACTACGACGGCTGCCACTACTACTACTTCTACTACTACTACTACTACTACTACTACTACTACTACTACTACTACTACTATGACTACTATGACTACTCTTACTATTACCCTCCCTACGACTACTACCACCACTACTACTACTATTTCTACTACTACCACTACTACTACTACTACTACTACTACTACTACTACTACTACTACTACGACTACTACTATTACTGTTGCTGATATTACTACTACGATTACACACGATGGCTACTACTAGTATTATTACTATCACGGATACGGTCACTACTATCTCTGTTATTGCTATAACTGCCCGGACAGCGAATAACAATATTACGACTAAGAACACGATTGCGACCATTACTAGTACTAGTATTTCGATTACTGTTCCCACTATTGCTACTATTCTTTCTACTACTACTACTACTTTACCAATACCACTGGCACCACTGCTATTATCAGTGCGGCTACACTAATCATTACAAATATAATGATTAGTAGTACAACTACTACGACCAGTACTATTACTATCACTCCTACCACTATTACTAACATTACTGTGACGACTACTACTCATAGCACGACTACCACTACTACTACGACTAAGGCTACGACTACTACTAGAAGTGTCATTATTTCACTATTACAACCTAGTACTGCTACTACTATCAGTACTACTACGACTACGACTACGACTACGACTCCTACTACTACTACTACTACTACTACTACTACTACTACTACGACCACTACCACTATTACTACTACTACTACTACTACTACTACTACTACTACTACTACTACTACTACTACTACTACTACTACTACTACTACTACTACTACTACCTACTACTACGACCACTACTACTCCTGCTTGTACTACTAGCATCACTACGGCTACTGCTACTACTACTACGACTGCGCCTGCGACTCTGGCAAAAGGTGCGACTGCGGCTGCGACTACGACTACGACTGCAACGATCACTATGTTTCCTACTACCGTTACTCCCACTACGTTTTCCAATCCTCTTGCTGCTACTCCGGCTACCACTGCTACTACTACTACCACTACTACCATGATTCGCATTAGCATTTTTAGTAATATTTCTTCTACTATACAAAGGCGGCTGGTACCACGTGCTACGACTACTACAACTAGGACCTCCACGGTTACAACGACGATTGCTACTACGGCCTGTTGTTTTCTACGACTACTCACTTCTACTAATTCTACTACTACTAGTACTACTACTACTACTACTACTACTACTACTACTACTACTACTACTACTACTACTACGACTACGACTACTACTACTACTACTACGACTACGACTACCACCTTTAGTACG